TCCTTTAGTTTTTGTTTGTCCTGGAAGCTTTTTCTCTCTCCTTCTATTTTCAATGACAGCCTAGCTGGATAGAGTATTCTTGGCTGCATATTTTTCTCATTTAGTGCTCTGAATATATCCTGCCAGTCCTTTCTGGCCTGCCAGGTCTCTGTGGATAGGTCTGTTGCCAATCTAATGTTTCTACCCTTGTAGGTTACATATCTCTTCTCCCGAGCTGCTTTCAGGATTTTCTCTTTGTCTATGAGACTCGTAAGTTTTACTATTAGATGTCGGGGTGTTGACCTATTTTTATTCATTTTGAGAGGGGTTCTCTGTGCTTCCTGGATTTTCATGCCTGTTTCTTTCCCCAAATTAGGGAAGTTCTCTGCTATAATTTGCTCCATTATACCTTCTGCGCCTCTCTCTCTTTCTTCTTCTTCTGGGATCCCAATTATTCTAATGTTGTTTCTTCTTATGGTATCGCTTATCTCTCGAATTCTGCCCTCGTGATCCAGTAGTTGTTTATCTCTCTTTTTCTCAGCTTCTTTACTTTCCATCATTTCATCTTCTATATTACTGATTCTCTCTTCTGCCTCATTTATTCTAGCACTTAGCGCCCCCATTTTTGATTGCACCTCATTAATAGCCTTTTTGATTTCTACTTGGTTGTATTTTAGCTCTTTTACTTCTCCAGAAAGGGTTTCTCTAATAACTTCCATGCTTTTTTCAAGCCCAGCTAGTATCTTTAAATTGATGATTCTGAACTCTAGATCTGACATCGTACTAATGTCCGTATTGAGTAGGTCCCTAGCAGTCGGTACTACCTCTTGTTCTTTTTGTTGAGGTGATTTTTTCCATCTTGTCATTTTGTGCAGAGGAGAATAGATTAATGAGAGAACAAAATGCTAGCAGAGTAACCACGTCCCCAGAAAATATACTCTAAACAAATCAGAAAAGACCTGAACCAGTGGGATAAGAAAGGGAAAGAGAGAAAAAAGAAAAAGAAAAAAAAGGAAAAGAAAAAGATAAAAACAAAAAGAAACAAAACAACAACAACAACAGAAACCAGAATGTGATCCAATATTTTCAGGCTGGTATATAGATCAGTGCCACACACTAGATTTGGGGTCTATTTTGGTCTTTTAGAAGAAAGTGCCTCCCAAAATTTTAAAGAAAGAAAAACTTATATATGTACAAAAATAAGGGTTGATATGATGAAGGGATGGAATATGACTGTAAAAATGGAAATTATAAAAAATTTTATAAAAGGAATTGATAAGAAGCTGTTTGAAAAAAGAAAGAAGAGGATTTAAATAAAGAAAATAAAGAAAAAAAAAGGGAAAGGATGTGATCAGGCAGGGGAATAGAAAACACCATATACTAGAGATTTAGGGTATATTTTAATTTGTTAGAAGAAATTATCTCAAAATTCTAAAGAGAGTACAACTTATATATAGAAGCAAAAAATATGGGTAACTACTATGAAGGGATAGAATATGACTCTAAAAATGAAAAATAAAAAGTTTTTTTTTTTAAAGGGATTGATAAGATTTTGGTTGAAAAAGGGAAGAAGAAAAATTCAAAAAGAAATAAAAATACAAAAAGACAGTTAAAAAAATTAACTTTAAAAGACTAAAGAATTGGGTGCCTGGGTGGCTCAGTTGGTTAAACGACTGCCTTCGGCTCAGGTCATGATCCTGGAGTCCCGGGATCGAGTCCCACATCGGGCTCTCTGCTCAGCAGGGAGTCTGCCTCTCTCTCTGACCTTCCCCCCTCTCATGCTCTCTATCTCATTCCCTCTCTCAAATAAATAAATAAAATCTTTAAAAAAAAATAAAATAAAAATAAAAGACTAAAGAATAATGGTAAAAAAGCCTTGAATTCTATGTTCAGTAGTCCCCTAGCGCTGGAGTTCTGCCGTTCTCATTGATCGGTAAACTTGGTCTTGCCTGGCTGTTCTCGCTGATCTTCTGGGGTGGGGCCTGTTGCCGTGGTTTCCAAATGTCTCTGCCGGAGGCGGAATTGCCCCGCCCTTGCCCCCTCCTGGCTAAGTAATCTGCTCGGGTTTGCTCTCCGGGGCTTTTGTTCCCTGGGAGCTTTCCGTACAGCTTTGGAGGCGTAGAGTGAAAATGGCGGCCTCCCAATCTCCACCCCGGAGGAGTCGAGAACTCGGGGCCCTGCTCCTCAGTGAGCCCCCAGGGAAAAGCCGTCAGTTACTCCCGTCTCCCCGCTCTCCAGCCGCACTCCGTGCTCGCCCGGCCTGTGACCACGCGTTTCTATATCTGGCACCCGACCCCGTGTGGAGTCTCCAAACCTAGCAGATCACTGCGGTGCACTCCCGCGCGGCTCCTCCCAGGGGAGGAAGGTGAGTCTCCCCGGATCTGCCGCTTGTTGGGTCCCTGCTGGAGGAGCAGTGGCCCGACGGTGCCGCGGATCACGGTTTATGGCAACCCCGAGCTGAGAGCCCGCGCCTGGGCTCTGCCTCTGCAGCCGGCTTCCCTGCTCCGTTACCTGGGAGCTCTGCCACACTCAGGCACCCCCGGTCTTTCTGTGACCCCGAGGGTCCTGAGACCACACTGTCCCGGAGGGTTCCACCCCCCCGCTTAGCCACCAGAGTGACATCCCTCAGCGGAGCAGAGTTTTAAAAGTTCCGATTTTGTGCTCCCTGGCTCTATCACTTGCCAGAAGCGGCCGACAGAGGCCCCTCCCCCACCATCTATCCTCCCGAATATTGCCTCGGATTCACTTCTCCGCACGTCCTACCTTCCAGAAAGTGGTCGCTTTTCTGATGAGAGAGTTGCTCTTCTTTTCTTCAATCTCCTGTTGAGTTTGTAGGTGTTCAGAATGGTTTGATCCCTATCCAGCTGAATTCCTGAGAGGAGATGAAATCCAGGTCTCCTACTCCTCCACCATCTTGCTCCGCCCCCCCCGGCTATACCACTTTAAATTACCACCAGCAATATATGAGTAATCCAATTTCCTTACATCTTCACCAGCGTTTGGTGTTGCCACCATTTTTTTTTAAGTTTGAACCATCATGATAGATGTGTAGTAATATCTCACTGTGGTTTTAATTTGTATTTATCTAATTGCTAGAGATATTGAATATCTTTTATGTGTTTACTTGCCATCTGTATATCCTCTTTGGTCAAATTCCTGTTTATATCTTTTGTACATTTTCTAAGTTGGACTCTTTTATTATGGACTATGTTCAGCTTCTTGCTGGGCCCTGCTAACACCAAGGATGAAGGGAAAGTAAAGTGCTGACTAGTCCTAACTTAAACCACTTTATTCAGTCTCATTCATCCCCATTGTCAGTTGGAAGGGTCAGATATTTAGAGTGTTGTCTAGAATTTAGGAGTTCTTTTATTTGTTATTATAAAGAGGTTTGAGCATGTGAAAGCATTTATGAGAAAGAGTCAAGAGAGAGAAACTAAATATGTAAAAGCAAGAAGGGGAAAAATTTTTCCCCCAGGGTTCATGTGAGCATTCATCAAGCCAATGTGCATTGTGAACCCTGGAGTGGCGGCAATTTGAGTACATAGCAGGGGAAATTTTTAGTATAATGTTACTGAGAATGTGGAAGGAATAGAATTCAGAACACAAGGAATTGACTTTTTAAAAGATTTTATTTAAATTCAAGCTGGCTAACTTAGTGTGTTATTAGTTTTAAGGGTAGTATTTAGTGATTGATCAGTTGCATATGACACACAGTGCTCATTACCTCAAGTGCCCTCCTTAATGCTCATCACCCAATTACCCCATCCTCACAACCCCACTCACCTCCCTCCCAGCAGAAGAATTCACTTTAAATAAGAGTTGATGCAAGTCCTAATAATGTAATGTATGCAAAGAAAAGATGCAGATGCGAGAATGTTGGAATATTTGATAGCAGGAAGTTATGGAAAGGTTTCTTTTCTTACCTTCTTAACAAGTTCTAAGGATAGAGTGCAGTATTGTTAAATATATGAAATTTTCTGATTACTTAAATTTACCTTTTTAAAGTAAAAGTGAAGACTATCTGCTCAATGTCTAAAAAAACAGGGAAGTATAATGAGGAGCCAGCAATGGAGGTACTTTTAACAGTACAAATCCAAGGAAGAAAAGAGTTTCCAGGAAGATGTTACCAACAGTGTCAGGTGTTCTAAAGGTATCAAGAAGAAAAACACTGATTTAGCAAGTAAGAGGAGGTCATTGACAGTAAATTTGAACAGAACTGTGCATTTACAAATATGGGAGATAATACTAAGAAGGTAAGACTAGCAGTTGTTTTAGGTTTTGGATATTTATTTTGATGTCATCCCCTAAATAGTGGAGAGTAATTGAAAGTCACTGAGTTGAAAATGTTCAAAATGAATTGGATCAAGACAGGGGGGACAAAAGCTATTGATATCCTGTTGTAGTAATCTGAGTCAAAGTTGAAGAGGGCTTGAATTAGAGCAGTAGCAGTAGAAATGGAAAAGAATGGGCAGATATGGCAAAAGCTACCACAGACAAATCATTAGAATCTGGTGACTAATTGGTAATTTTTTGTATTAAAGATTTTATTTATTTGTTTGACAGAGAGAGACATAGCGAGAGAGGGAACACAAGCAGAGGGACTGGTAGAGGGAGAAACAGGCTTCCCACGGAGCAGGGAGCCCAATGCAGGGCTCGATCCCAGGACCCTGGGATCATGACCTGAGCCGAAGGCAGACGCTTAATGACTGAGCCACCCAGGCGCCCCTATTTGATAATTTTCCAATAATATATATTCCTTCAGATCATAAAGACAGGGATAAAGGATAAAAATGAGGTTATATTAATAATAATAATAAGGTATACTGCTCTGTGTTTCACCATCTCTGATAGTGCATGACCTCTAAATATTTTTAAAGCAAATCTCTTCAGTACAAACAAATACCCAGCACATTTAGGGTCTTCAGTATGTTTTTCTAGTATGGTCACAGGATTTTTCTGTAACGTTCACAAACAAATCTTCCATGAAGCCTTTGCTAATGACTAAAAATTGCACTGCTTGTGAAATTGTGTCCAGAGGCATTTTCCTTGCACTTAGTGTCCATGGCCATGATGAGTTCTCATGGACATATTTGGGAAAAGTTTTCAATTAGCAATAATCGCACCTCGGATAAACCACATCGGCTATGATACTGCCACTGTGCAAAGCTCATGGACATTATTTGGTTTAAGATGCTCTTGTCCCTGAAACCATAGATTTTGCTGATATAGTTACAATTTCTATGTGACATAACAATGCTGTATTTTTTGGAGGTCTCAGTTTTCACTTAAGTAAGGTTCTATACTGTGATGTCTTTTGTCCAGATGTTTTTATAGAGTTCGACGTAGCAACAATTCTTTTAAAATTTTTAGATTCCCTTTCAAGGCCTTAGGCATGAAAAAAAATATGAGTGATACTTCATCTTGTATTACTGCTACTAAGACTAACACGGGGCTCTGCCTGCAGTAGGTGCTTAATAAACAAATACGGTTTTATTTACATAACAGTTAATTTGGCATGACCACCATTTTAAGAGACAAGGATGGTATAGTTGGAACACATTTCCTTAAATAGTAGGATATGGAGAATGCTGGATTCAGAAGTTGTCTGAAGTCTCTCTTGATTCATATAAGAATTTGCTTACTTCCCGCAGATACTCATTTTCTATTCTTTCTTTCCATTCTGATATTGTCACATTTAGAATATATTCACAAGCTTGAACCTGTGATTGTTGCTTCCTCCATATATAAGAATTTTTGGAACATGGATTTCCTCAGTATGTGGACAGTTCTAGGGTTAATATTTCCTGGATCAATGCTATAGAATTTTGTTCAGTGATATCAATTATTACTTTGAATAGCTCCTTGCTAAGAAACATATCTCCTATAAATTTACAAGTATTACTTATTTCTTGTATGCTCCCTTCTTTATAACAGGTAAAACCGTAAGAGAGAAAAGCCCCCAAGACACATTTTTTATATGTGTCACTATTTTCAACATTTGAGCAGGTTTCATTTTCTTCTCTTTATGTCTGTGGATTGTTGATCAAGTAATCTCTTTCCATTCTAAGCCCTTCTTCAGCTGTGTAGGTTTGTAAGCATCCATAGCTTTTTCCTAAGTGCTGACACTTTCATGCTCTCATGTGGGGCACCAAAACTGATAAAGCATGAATTCTCTTTCATTTTTAAATTTTAAATAATCTCCTCAGAGTCAAACTGGGGAAGATAAAACAGGCATTAAAGTGCTATGAAAATGGAAAAATAAGAATGTTTTATATAAATTCCCATAAAAGTGTGAGACCTAGCTATTGTTAATAGCATTTAAGGAATGGTGATGTCTTTAGGTTATACTGCATGTCAAATCTATCTGTCTCTTCTGCTTCCTCATTATAATTTGTTGGTAAGGCTAAGAAAAAATCAGCAAATTTAGTGTTCCTTTTCCACAGTTATTTTATCTCACCTTTTTTCTTGTCTGGATAAGGCTAAAATGATAAATATATCAAGGGATTTACAAAAACCAGACTAAAATACAAATAATTAGATAAAAATTATCTGTGTAACTTTGAAATTTACACTTTTTGTGCTTCAGTTTCTTCATCTATAGAGAAAATAATACAAATTCTGTGAACTTCTATGATTTTTATATAAAAGAACAGGTTTGGAAGGGATTTATATATTGTTACACAAATGTGAGGGATAATTATCTCATTGTGGTATAAAGAGGATGATTGCCTGTTCTGACTTCAAAAAAAAGGCCAGCAAGTTTATGAAGAAGGCTTAGATTTGATTCCCTTCTACTTCTGTTTTTGTGTATTGTTCTGCCTTTTTTTCTGCCTTCTTCTCAAGAAAAATTACAAAGCTACTCTATTTCACTAGGACCATATTCATGCTTCAGAAGAAAGGTATTTGATCATCTCAGTCTAGCACAGTGATTAAGACAGGCATTTTAGATTTGAATCATAACTCTATCATTCACTAGCTCTGTAGTCTTAGGGAAGTTGCTTTAACCTTTCTGTTCTTAGCTGTTTCATTTATAAAATTATAATAATAATAGTGTCCACAATAGAATTGTTTGGAGAGTTAATACATGTAAAGCACTTTGATTAGTATGTAACATAATAAATTCTAAATAAAAGTTAGTTATCATCTTTTTCTACTAACTAATATAGATTATAAATGTGTTTGCAGAAGTAACTTTGTAAAAAGTAACTTGTAAGAACACTGCAAGATTATCTGAGTTAGAACAATTTCTAGTTTATAGTAGGCAGTCAATGAAAACATTGTTAAATGCATGCATTTAAAAGTCTTCACTGATATGTGGAGTTTAAGAAATAAGGCAGAGGATCATAGGGGAAGAGAAGAAAAAAATGAAACAAGACAAAACCAGACCATCATGGAAATTCAAATAAAAACCACATTGAGATACCACCTTACACCAGTTAGAATGACAAAAATTGACAAGACAAGAAACAACAAATGTTGGAGAGGTTGTAGAGAAAGGGGAACCCTCTTACACTGTTGGTGGGAATGCAAGTTGGTACAGCCACTTTGGAAAATAGTGTAGAGGTTCCCCCCAAAATTAAAAAGAGAGCTACCCTATAATCCAGCTACTACTGGGTATTTACCCCAAAGACACAGAAGTGGTGAAAAGAAGGGCCATATAAACTCCGATCTTCATAGCAGCAATGTCCACAATAGCCAAACTGTGAAAAGAGCTGAGATGTCCTTCAACAGATGAATGGAAAAGGATGTGGTCCAAGGAAGAAGAAAAGATGGCAAAAGTGTAGGGGGACCTATTCCAACTTGTCCCCAGAATTGAGCTGGATATCTACCAGACCACTCTGAACACCCATGAAATCAGCCTGAGATGTAAGAAGATAGATCTGGATCTCTACAAACAGAATATAATACGTGGTTGGTTTCGAGGTAGGAAGCTGGGAGCCATGATTCCACAGGCACATATTGGAAGATAAATGGAAGGGGGAGGGAGCCATGGGGATCCTGCACCACTGGTGAACGATAGCCTCCCATGCTGGGGACTGGGTACAGACTCACAGACAGGTAGTGATGTGGAAAGGACTTTAGGGCAGCCCCCTGGACTGAAACCTGGAGCAACAGGGCTGCGTGTTTGAACTGAGGGTAGCTGGCAGTTTTAGAAGCACAAAGGGCAGAGACGAACCCTGACCTGGAGGTGAGGACTAGGAATGCTCCTGAAGGGGGCACAACCCAGAATGCTGCAGTTTATAGCAGCACAGACAGAAAGAGTGATAGTGTGACTTGGAGAGCTCACTGAAGAAGAGACTGTGATCTCTCTGTTCTGAGGCAGGGGGTTAGAAAAGATCTCTTCTGCTCTGACTCTCAGAAGAGATGCAGAAACCCACCAGGGAAAACCACCATAGAACAAAAGCCCCCCAAAAATGGTTTTCACTGAGCCCATCCCCCAGAACAAGGGGCAGGGCAACTCTGACAAACAAGGTTGCCTGAGTAACAGCATGGAAGGCCTCTCACCAAGAAGACAGGCAAGGAGAAAAAGAGGCCAACTACCCTAAGGTCCCTATAAATTAGGAGCATCTTGCTTGGGTTGTGGTCAATAATTTGTAATCTGTACATTCCCTCAACCACCCCTCAACAGAATGACTAGGAAGAGGAACCCAAAAAATAGGAAAGACTCAGAGACTGTGACTTCTGCCACAGATTTACAAATGGATACAGATATAACCAAGATGTCAGAGATGGAATTCAGGGTAGCAGTTGTGAAGACAATAGCTAGAATGGAGAAATTGATTAATGGCAACATACAGTCTCTAAGGGCAGAAATGAAAGCTGAACTGGCAGAACTTAAAAATGCTACCAATGAGATCCAAACTAATCTAGATAATTTAACAGCTAGGGTAAGCGAGGCAGAAGAATGAATTAGTGATAAAGAAGACCAATTAATAGACAAGAAGGAAAAAGAGGAGGCCAGGGAAAAACAACTTAAAATCCATGAAAATAGAATCAAGAAATAAGTGACACCATGAAATGTTTCAATGTCAGAATTATTTGGATCCTTGAGGGGGTGGAGAGAGAGAAAGGACTAGACGATATATTTGAGCAAATCATAGCTGAGAACTTCTGTAATCTGTGGAAGCATACAAACATTTGCGTCCTAGAGAAAGAGAGGACCCCTCCCAAGATCAAGGAAAACAGGCCAATGCCCTGGCATGTAATAGTAAAACTCGCAAATCTTAGAACCAAGGAAACCATCTTAAGGGCAGTTAAAGGGAAGGATTCCTAACCTACAGAGGGAAGAACATCAGAAAAATGTCAGACCTATCCACAAAGACCTGGCAAGGCAGAAAGGGCTGGCAAGACATAATCAGGGTAATAAATGAGAAGAACATGTGGCCAAGAATACTTTATCCGGCAAGGCTTTCATTTAGAATGGATGGAGAGATGCAGAGCTTCAAAGACCGACAGAAACTGAAAGAATATGTGACCACTAAGCCAGCCCTGCATGAAATATTAAGGGGGGTTCTATAAAAGGAGAAAGACCCTAAGAGTGATCTACAACAGAAATTTACAGGGACAATCTATAAAAACAAGGTCTTCACAAGCAACATGATGACAATAAACTCATATCTTCCAATAATCACTCTCAATGTGAATGGCTTAAATGCTCCCATAAAAAGGCACAGGGTTGCAGATTAGATAAAAAGACAGGACCCATCCATATGCTGTCTATAAGGGAGTCATTTTGAACCTAAGATACATCCAGACTGAAAGTGAAGGGATGGAAATTCATCTTCCATGCCAACGGACCTCAAAAGAAAGCTGCAGTAGCAGTTCTCATATCAGAAAAAAAATGATTTTAAGCTAAAGACTGTGGTTAGAGACACAGAAGTACACTATATCATTCTTAAAGCATCTACCCAACAAGAAGATCTAACAAATGTAAATATCCATGCCCTCAACATGGGAGCAGTCAACTACATAGGCCAACTGTTAACCAAAATAAAGAATCATATTCATAACAATACGTTAATTGTAGGAGACCTCAATACTCCACTCTCAGCAATAGACAGATCATCTAAGCAGAAAATCAACAAAGAAACGAGAGCTTTGAATAACCCCCTGATCCTGATGGACCTCATAGATATATACAGAACGTTCCACCCTAAAGCAACAGAAT